ACGCTGTTTCTCAAGCTTTATTTAAGATTCCTGAAACAGTTTTCAAAAAATTTATAGCTTTTTTGCAGCAGAAATAGTTTTGAATAGCAAACATTTTTAGGTAGATTCACTTACTCTTTAAACCAGACACTTGACAACACGTCGAAGTGAATTGGACTTTTTTTGCATAAATTGCCGAATTCAATAAAAACTTAAGTGTAACTATAACAAATGAAAATCAAAAAGGGTTTAAAGATGCGTCTAAAATTTTGTTCATTAGTCTCGAAGTACTCGAGTACTCTTTTTCTTAGTGCTCAAGCTTTGACAAGTGGTCGCCTTTGAGACGTTATTTCTTTCAGACAGATATATGTAAATGTTTACAAGGGTAACGAACGACTGTAAATAATTGATTTATTAAGCGGCTCCTGAAAAAAATTAACCGATGAATTTTGCTCTATAACGAGAAAAAAATAGCGATAATTTAACACAATTAGGGTTTAATAACTGTTCAAAAAGTCAAATAAGTACTGTCACAGACTTTTGACAAAAGTTGTACAAGGTAGTTGTACAAGGTCAATAGTTCTAGGTCAAAAAACTAGCGCAAAAACCGCAACGTTTCTCTGCATTATTATTGGCTGGAGCCATCAGATACGAGTACAAAAGTAGCTCACGGTATCCCAACATCAAAAGTGACATTTACAAACTAAAAAAGAAACTGAGTGTTTCTTTACCCCAAACTTTCGACCATTTTTGAATAACAGAATTCTATAGAAATTGATTTGGACAATGAAAGCTCACAGTTTTAAACAACAGTAACAAAAAACACAAATAGTTTGTTTAACGGAATCTATTCTCCACTTTCTTGCGTTAAGCTGGGAGCATTTTTGAGAGCTTTTTATTTGCGCCCTTGAAATTGCTTGGAAAAAATTCAACAATGTTATAATGTTTTTTTTTTGCCTCCCACAAATAATGATTTCGGCTTCTGAAGTGGTATTTTTTTGCTTTATTACACTTGCGAGAGAAATTGTCTGGTAATCGGTAACTAGACATTTTCCCACGTAAACAACTTTTCCTACAAAACTTAATAGTTTTTCTTACTTGCTGTCTAACAAGTTCCACATTCATTCTCACTTGGCTAAGAGGTAAAGCCGTTGACTTTGCACCCTAAGACCAGAGGTTCAAGTCATGCCCGTACTTTTGTTCAGTAGGTGTGCAATTCAATTTTTTCGGGTAATTGTTGAACTGTCGGATTTTTGTTTGTCTGCTTAGTTGCCGCAGCACGGGTTTTGTTATTTCTGTAATCAACTTTCATGAAGTTGCAAGTGCAAGTGTTGTTCAATGTAGTATCTAGAGAGACTTGAAAATAAAAAAAACTATAAAATCTTTTTTTTTTGCTCATTTTGTGTCTGCTCAAAGATTGTCGGCTTTGTTCCGTTGCTGATTTATTTTTCAATTTCAAACTTCAAGCTTTTTTGCCTACAATGGACTTCTATCAAGATATACGAAAAATAATTTTGGTAGGTCTAGTTGTTTCAATTTTTTTTTCATTACTGTTCCGACTTCTTGTGTTTTTTATTTTTGCGTTAAACCGCAAGTAATGCAAAGCTCCGTTTGAACACTTGCAAAATAACAAAAACATACTTCTGTAAGCTGGTGAATAGAAAACGAGAGACGGCAACCATATATAAGAAAAAATGTGTAACAATTCCCGAGAATAACAATTCATTTTTAAAATCATTTGTTGGATTATTGTTCAATTTGAGGAAAATATGTCAACAACACAATCACCAATGTTGAAAAAGCATTCAAAGTCAGCAAGCAACTGACAAGCAATTAAGCCAAAACACCGGAGAAGACGCCCAACGAATAAAAAGCAAATTGGTTGCAAAAAATGTGAGCTATAAATTTTTTGTACCTTACCGGTTTTGAAACATGCAAAATTTGCCCTTCAATCGACGAATTCATTGTTTCTTGCATAAATCGAATCTATTTAAGAAATAAAAAAAGAAATCATACTTAATCAAAATTCTTAAACTCAGAAATTGGAAAATTTGGAAAAAAGGCGGAAAAAACGCAGACAAACTTTAGTCGAACAAAATGTTTTTCATCAAGTAAAAATTTGAATTTCAGATTTTTTAGGTAAAAAACAAAATCTCGCCGGTAATTGAAACCAATACATGAGGATCCCAAGGTTTTACACACAGGCGAAGTTGGAATTCGCATACACAAGCAAAAGTTTGACCAATAACGCTACTGGGAAAAACTGAATGATCAAAAGTTTGAGTCTACAAAAACTCTTAAGTGACGCAAGCCAATCATGATGCATTAATCCCAGTCAATTTGAAAAAAAAAAGAAATTCATCAACTTATATGCCTCAATAGAGCAGTCTATATAGCATCAATAACATGAAAAATCTAAATGTAATAAAAATAAAATGAGTTTTTTTTAATTTGAGTTTTTTTGTGAAAAACATCCATCCACACGCCATATTAAGTTCAAAGTGATAAATTTTGCCGCTCCTAGTAACAATTAATTATTGCAAATAAGCTTCCTTCAACCAATTTGGAGCGATTTCTATGACGGATAAAATCTTCGCTTACGGGTTAATAGCGCGAAATATATCACGCGTTAATTGTCCCAAATTGGCCAAAACGGTAGTTTTCAGACCCCTATAACTTAACAAAAAAATGGTCACAGGTGAAATATCTTTCCAAATTTAAGCTCAGAACAACAATACATTTTGAATGATATAAAAAAATTTCCGTCTAAAATGGCTAGTTAAAGGTCGAAATTTGTCTGAAAAAAACACCCGAGCTCAATTTTTCCGTTACTTTTGTTACGAAAGTGGACATAATAATAGTCTGTGTTACAATACTTAGCATTGGCTGTACTTAATAGTTGGTTATTGGTCAAAATGAACACTTTCAAAATGAACACATTTTATCGCAACAATAATTGAGTCGCAACAATATTTGCGACTTAGATTGAAAAAAAAAACATTTCATACTATAACACAAGCTTTGCTTGTGTAATCACTCAACCAAATTGCCAAAAAAGGTTGGAGTTATTAAGGCTTCATTAGGAAGCAAAGTCACAATTTTTGTAGATTTGTCAGAAAAACTGTTTTATGGATTGGTCAAAATGGCAGATGAGTTTGAAATAATTCTCTGTTTCAAACTCACCTTCTCTCAGAAATGAAAACAAATGGCATCTAATAATTGGCCGTAATACAAATATAAAGGCTGGTTTTTAATTTAGTTTTAAAAAGTTTGCAAATATTGTTCACAAAAGAACTCTAATAAAAGATAAATTTAATAAGTGTTGCCGATTGGCTGAAATCAATCATTGGACTGGGTTGAGTGATATACCATACTGAAGCCTTTTCAGTCAAGATTTGAAGGACTTTGAAAAATTTTTGATAATTTTCTCACTGTTGAGATAAAAAGGATTTAATTTTTTTTGTCTAATTTCAAGCGAGAAAATCGAGCGAGCAAAGCTTATTTATGCAGTGAAATTTACAATAGTTTGTAAAAATTAGTATTCCTCAAGTATAATTAGCCTTTGGAGTTTTTAGCGCCATTTTGGGAATCAGGAACAATTTGATTTTTTTTATTATTATTTTTTTTATAATTGACAACTATTTGGTCGTAACTTTGTATGCTAGATGGACAGAAACCACCTACTCTTTTTAACGATATACTTACCTCAAAAGAATTCAATCTCTTAAAAGTGGTCATCTTTTACCTTTAAAGCGCACTTGTATTGTTTAAAATTCAATGCAAAAATTAATCCCAGTGAGAGTTTTTCTTTCAGAAATTGAAACATATTAAAGACTTGTCTCTGGAATCCAGGAGTATACAGACATTGAATTTTGCGCCTATCCAGCGCATAGTTTGGCCTCGTAATGAGTGCTTGTTTTCGAAGCAGTTTACTGATAGATCACTTATTTTTGAAACTTAATCTGTCATCCTAAAGAACGCGCGCACAAATAGAGAGCTCCTGACTGCTGGAAAGTTTCTGATTGAAAACTAAGCCGTTTTGGCTAAAAACAGCACAGCACCATTGATACTCATGTTCATTTATTTTCTTAAATAAAAACTTGAGAGATCAGCACTCACTTATGCTTCATAAGAAAATTAAATACAAAAAAAATTCTTAAATTGTTGGTTATGTCGTTAAAATGGAGAAATTTTCTTTCTGAGGAATCCAATAGCTTTATAATTAAAGGAGAGTCAAATGACACAATTTTGGATTGTAATTAAGAAAAAGACTACGAAGTCGACATACAAAAACAACCATCCATAAGGAAAGAAGATATCTAGTTGGGTTAGAAATAATTAACTTTGTCTTGCTGATAGATGATAATAAAGATAAACAATGATAAACTGTTTGCCCATAGAGGTTCCACTTGACAGGTTTCGTTTTCGGAGACCTCTCAAAGTTGCATCGGCTTCCAACATTTTGCCTAAATTTTTGTAAATTCTTTCTTCTTGTACTGACTGATTCATGCCAATTCAATTACCATTATCATTATAGCGCGGACGTAACACTGCAATTTTGATTGTTATCTGTCTGGTACCTTCTAACAAAGCGTTTGTGATAAATTGGAATAAGATTAGCGAGGACTTCCTTTTCCCTCTTTATGCTCTGTTTAGTGGAGCTTAAAAAATTACTAGCTAAGTTCATCTTGTGTCCATCAAAATTTAATTTTATCCTGGAAAAATTCTGGTCTTGAAAAAAGTTAGGTGTTTGAGAACCATAACTTAGAACTAGAGGATTAATTTCAGCTTTCCAATCATTCTTTTAACATGCTCATTGGAAACATTTTAGCTGGTTATCTTCCATTTCCATCCAACTCAAACGAGCTCCTTACAAACACTTTCGTTTTCACTAATTAACACTTGGAAAAAACTGACATTCTTATTTCCCTGTTTTAGGTTTGTTTTGTATCCTGTGCTTGAGGAGAGAGAAGCAAAGAGACAAGAGCTCGATAATTGTTGAATTCATAAATACTCAACTATCTTGACCTTTAAACGGAAACAAGTCAAACCAGTTTTCGGTAATTATTCCACCAAGAAATGAATCCACCAACAGATAGTGAGCACTAAAATACCCTAAGTACTGTATTCTGTTACCTTTTCACTTTGAAGACGCTTTTAACCGTAATTCCTAGTAAATCTTTTTTTAAAATATATCAAGGCAAATCCCATTAGGCCGATTTTTATATTTAATCACGTTGGAATAATAGGCAAGGTAAAAGCAGACTAATGGTAATATAGATCTACGTTTTTATAAAGAAAAATGTTGAGCTCCTTTGAAGGAAATATTCAAACAATAAAATCAAAAATAATCCGAGAACAATCAGTTTCCTCTAAGGATAGACTTAGTTAATTCTGCTAATACTGGGAGTAATAACTTCGGATAATTGCCCCAATTTTTAGTCTGCATTTTAGTCTTTAATTCCGCATTTGAATCTTTTTGATTGAGCTAGCTTCCTTGAGGAAAAATATTGGAATGGAAAATTAGGTGTTTAATTGCCGCACAAACTTACCATTGACGCAAAACTAAATGGTTAGATTGCTTAACTTCAAAAAGCACGGCCTTCGCCTACCTTTGTTTTGACATTTACTGATTTTTTTAAACAAACTTTTATTATTTATCTGCGTTGTTATTGCCTACACGTCCGTTCACTCTTTTTAATGGATTGAACAATTCCTGCAAAAAGAGGCGAATCTCGCAGCTAATGCTTTTTACTTGTCTTTTATTGACTGGATGGCGCCTCCGGTCTTGGACATAGCGATAGTTGGAGCACCCCGCTGTGGAAAGTCAAGTATTATCAGAGCATTTGATGAGCCCAGCTTCAATCGCCCAATTGAGAGAAACGCGTTGCGGTAAGTTTTCAAACATGAACAAAACTTCTTCTATCACAGCAAAGCTCACAATATTCAAAACTTCACTAGACTTATCATGCAAAGTTTATCTTGTAAAATTTATCATGTAGAAAAAATTTATCACAAAAGTTTTCAGTTTTTTTTTCAAATCAGTCTACCAATCTTTTTAGCAGAGGGAAAGTGCCCACCCACAAACACTTCATGATTATTTTTCACGCTTTTCTATAAAATTTTTTTGCAAACAGACTGGAACATTATGTACTTCTTGCATAGCGTCTTGGAGGATAACCAAAAAGTATGATAAAATATCATTTTTCCCCATATTTTTTGAAAATTTTTATCATTTTTCAAAATCAAAACTATTCTATCGACCTTAAAGGACAGTCGAAACATTCGTAGCAGTCATGATTTGTCCCTGATGCAAGCACTCTTATTTTGCTTTATAATCAAAACTTTTATTCTTGGTGGCTTTTTTTCAAAGGTATTATCGACTTTATATCAAAAAATTTTTTTTTGTCAGATTATCGGCTTTTTGTCTGGGTAAGATTTTAAATCAATTTCCAGGGTTATTATCGATATTTTTTTCAAAAAAAGTGTGTTTAATGCTCTGGAATATGTTTAAAATTCTACCAGAGAAAGTTTAATTGATGTTAAGAACATGGTACGTCTCCAACGTGCTGTTCAAATGCCAACTGTACGAACTGCGAGTATTCGAGCCCAACTCAGCCCAGGATGACTTGAGTGCTTCTGACCTGTACAAGTGGGCCTCCAGGGTCATCGCCAGGACACACGTGAACACAAAGTCCTTCATGCTCGTCTACGATGCATCCAAACCAGTCACATTTCTATATATTCAGTTTTTTCGGTAAGTTAGATTATCGATTGATTATTGATTGATAAATAGATTAATGCTGCAATTTTGCGTGCGATAGAAACAATTTGAAGTGAAAGGATATCGGCTTAATATTAAAGTTTTGCAAGTTTTCAAATTTCGAAATTAACAACAGTAAAACAATTTTTTTAAATGATATTTATCTTGCCTAAGAATTCGGAGAACTAATTTGATTTACAGTTTCGCTATCTCTCAAAAACATCATCAAATACTATTTAGACACTGCGGGCGACTTTTGATAACCGATAACATGAAAATCTTTTTGAGCACCCGGACTTACTTGCTTTTGTTCCTTTTGTAACTTGGCGCCTTTCGATCTGGAAACTTATTAATGCTCTCAACGTCGACTGCTCGACTAGCAGAAAATCTTGACTTTTTGTGTGGTCTGCACGCGGAACGGAGCAGGCGTTCCCTTCTTGTCAATTACGGCGTGTCTTTGCTATTTGTTTGCTTTTGTATGCTATTCGATGCAATTTGCTATAAAAATATTTACTGCTAGTCAAGCTTTGTTTTAGATCGGTGCTTCTCGAAATTGCAAGGACTAACAGTTTTGAGCTCTTCATCTTCATAGTCGGCAACAAAGCCGATCTCCTCCCACCAAGCTCGAGGACGAGCTCTGACAAAGTAGTCCCGAAGTTCCACTCACACGACGGGGTGTTGCGATCAATTAAATCATATGGAAACAAATTTACAAAACATGATCAAATTCTTACCTCAGCTAGATGTAATTGGAAAATTACTGCGCTATTTGAAAAAGCAGTCACACAAGCTGTTGTGCTGACCAATGCTAGCAACGTCCCAAGGACTTTGTCAGAAGTAAGAGTGCGGCTCCAAAGAGGCATATTTAGAACATCGTCGGCACGAAACTCCAAGTATAGCCAGGACTCGACTACGAACTGTAATGAACAAGCAGATACGAAAGAAAAACGAATGAAAAAGTATAGCGAACCAATAGTGACAAGGAAATATGCGCAACACATGCTGAGTTACAGCCCAGAAACCCGACATCTGAAGACCAGTGTCAGCTCGGCCACAGAAATGAGGCGGAAGCTTTCATCTAATCTGTGAAGATGGCTTTAGATCTACTACAAAAAAAACTTTCTTGTTGAGGTGTATAAAATAATGCCCCTGAAATGAAACCATATCGTAAATTGAGTTTAAAAAAACTGAAGTCTTCCTCAGGGATTCGACCCTTTGGTAGAATTTGACGACGTCCATTTTTAATCGACGCAGTCTGTTTTCTAAATGCCCCTTTGGCGCCCATGATAGGTAATAAATTTGAGTTGGAGGCGCTAGCCGCAAAAACACGAATTGTTGTTATTTTTTTTTTAAAATTCGTCAGCGGTCTTAATGAGGTCTTTTTAGTGTTTTGACAGAGCTTGGAGAATCGATTTGTTCGATTTAAAACTTGAAAAGAAAATCTTAGATCCGCCTCTGCATACACACATGAGAGTATTTTTCTGGGAAATTATTCGGCAATCATCTGTGATGAAACTGTTACTCAATCGATTCGCTAAATTTTTCTGACGAGAAGCAATAATCAGCAAATTTAGCCTTGTGAATCTGGATACCGTTACTTTTCTCATTTTTAAAAATATTCTCTCAATTAACTCATAAATAATTATACCATAGATAAAAACATTTGTTCAACCAGTGCAAGCAAATAAACTGCTGGATGCTGGATCAAAATTGTGCGGCCGATTTATCACGTTCTTTACGTAAGTGATAAATACATGCACTTTTTGGTAAGCTTTCTGGGAAGTGTAATGTTGCCTTATCCTCAGGCAACAAGTACAGAGCACGGGAAGCCTCAAAAAGCGTTCCCTAGTTCTAATTCAAAAAATGGTTTTAATCCATGACAGATTGAAAAAGTATTTTCACTGACCGAAATTTGTATACCATTCACAATGACTCATTGTTGCCGCAAAATAGTTTTAAAAGCGAAATCATTTCAAAATATCATTAAACGCGATAGCAAGAAAGTTTCTCAAAACAATGCATTGCAGCTCAAACTTCGAAAAAAAAAGATTGAAAATGAAAAATAATCAACCCCATCAGACGTGAAAAAAAACACTCCAAAAAAACTCTTCACCTTCATTTGTTGAAATCATTACCAGTAGTTTCGTTTTGCATGGCTCTCAAACAACGGCTTTCGTTTATGGTAGAAGAAAACTTCAACTGAATTGTTTTGTTGGTTAAATAGTTCTCCAATAATACCCTTATACACATGAGTTATAGCCCAAGATTGCTGATTCATGATTGCTCAGCAATAGATAATGTTGCTGAAGTAATTACTTGACATCATTCAAAGAAGATACATTTTGTGTCATAATTAGATTTTTGCTACAATAGGAGGCGGTTCGAACTAAAAAATGAGCTCACGCAAAAAAAAATTTAAAAAAAAGTTAATGAGTTTTGCATTAACCTCCGCTAGCTAACATAAGCATCGTAACAATTCAACTTTAAATAGGCTGTATAAGTTAACCAACAAGAGATTGGGCGGTATAGTTTTAAGAAACTTCAAAAGATATAACACAAATATTAGTTAAATTATGAAAACTGTTCACAGGGTAGAAAACGCACTTGGCTTGCACGATCAAAAATAAACAAAAATTGATTTATTCAAATCAACCGATGTGAGTACTGCTCCTGAAAGGCCTCAGTTAGACCAAACCTTCTGAAATCTCTTAAGGAAAACCTGAAATCTCTTATAAACATGACTGTTTCTTTGGATTTTGAAGCATCATCGGACTGTCAGGACTACTCCCTAAGACTAGCAGTCTTGTTTTATTCCAGTGAAACTTTTTCAGCTCTTAGGATCATACAGAAAAATTTGATTTTCTGATATAAGAATTCAGTTTCATAAAAGTCATTTGCATTAAGTAGACTATGATCAGATAAATTTTCAGAAAAAAATTGAACTTGGGAGTTTTCTGAAATGTTTGACAAAAAATAAACAGCACCAAAAGGAAACGTCCAATGGGGTCGAGTTATATATCATATTATAAGGCGTTTTGGTGGTGTTAGAATTCTCCAAGATTCGCTTTGATCACAAGGTCTTAAGTAGGCAGCATAGCCAGAATTTAAGCAGCCTCATTAAAAAAACCTAAGCCACCATTAAGCGAACAACCGAACTGCAATATATACGAACACTCACGATCTTGCCTCAGCAATCAGCACAGAGACAACGCACATTTCGTAAGCAAGCAGAAAAAAATAGCCTTGTAAAAATCCATGTCACAAAATTTGCGACGTCTAATTTAGTGCGAAGATGCACTTCGCAAGACAAAACGCTATAAAAGATGTCTTGGCAATCAACTGTAAAAATCAACATTCGCAGTTTTTGTACCATTCCTAATTACAAATTTAAGAGCGTTTTTTTCTTTAATCTTAGCAAATGAATTTGAATGAAAGTTTAAACCCAGAGGCTGAGCTTCGCACCAATTGCAATACAGAACAAGAAAAAAAATCGGATATGTCGAAAAAACCAGATCTATAATTATAAGGCTAGTTTTCAAGCAAAAACTATTATTATGTGATATTAGGACCGGAAGATAATTTATCAAGCGGTAACGAAGCCGAAAATACTTTGGCATAAACCCTGTAAAAAATCAACAACACTTAAGTTTTATGCAAAGTTAACAAGTCCCCCTCATCCTCAAAAACACATAAATGAAACAATATGAGACAACTAGGCAGATATAATAAACCTTAACCCTACACACTTTTTTCGCTGGTGAAAAGACGCAATATGGGACTGATAAGCCGATATAATATAAGCCGAAATCTATCAAGCTGAAAAAAAAATTGTTGTCATGAAAAACTTGAACTAAATTCTATTAAGATGCTTAGCATTTAGTGCAATCCATTAAGCTGTGGGCAGAAAAAAATGCTTCTATCGACACAACTCGAAATGCGATCACGAAGCCGATGCAAATAAAGCCGAAAACATTTGGGCAAAATAAAATTTTTTAGTGAAAAAAAAACTATTAAAGAAATATGTACGATGTCAAGGTTAAAAAAATTAAAAACAAATTGCAGGGGTAAGTCAGAACACTATAAGCAACTATAGTGCAGAAAAATTAATATTCAAATGAGCGACCTAGTTGGATAGTCAAAACAAAACGGAAACTAAGCCGACAAAAATAAAGCGAAAGCGAAACTTAAAAAAACCCAAAGAAACATCATTTAAAAAAATTTTGAAATTGGAAAAACAGTTATAACGAAAGGATGCACAGTGGAAGTAATAGACCAATGAGCGCAAATAGACACACATACTGCATGCTTTTCGCGTACTGCATGCATACTGCAATCTGTCAACAAAGTTGTGTACGGTAAAAAAAAAGTCTAGTACCCGATAGCAATACCTTTGATAATCGCAAGGGCAAAATATAATATTTTAAACCAGAAAAAACCCATATCTGAGTGTAATCTTTATGAACTTTCCTGAAAAAACTACATTAAACGTTCCCTGAATTTAAAAACAGCTCATCTCAAATATATAGCTTACCAAATTCCCAAAAGGATTGAAAACAAATATTTCCCGAATGACATTATTAAATCCACAACAACCGAAATAATGAAAAAAATCAGAACCAATTATTTTTTTAAACCAAGGAAAATCAGAAAAACTTATATCACGTTGAAGCTCTTCAAAATTCAAGAATATTTTATGATATATAGTTGTTTCACTAGCCTAATTAGAAAATATATCATTAATTTCTCGGGGATTTCAGAAAAATAAAATCCACTTTAGAAGTCAACTTACAATTTTGAACTATACAAATTTCAGTAGCTCAGAGAATGTTCAATAGTGGAGTATTCCTTCCTTTTAACAAAAAAACATGAACTGAATTTAAAAACCAAAATGCCAAAGATCAAATTTGGAGTGATCAAATTTAAAGTTTTTTTCCTGGTAAAAAATCATAACGACCTAATCATGTATCTTCACTACGCTGATCAAAATTTTCTCCACAGCGTATTCGAGAACAAAACTAACAAATCGAAGGAGGTTACTTAATTCAAATATACAAGACACATGTGAAATACTGTACAAATTTACACTATACAATAGCTTCCAGCTTGATGTAAATAAAATTTAGGATTTAAGCTAAGTTTGAGATTTTTCTTCATTGTGAGTCGTGAACACATTTTCCGCAATTTGCCTTTCTGTTTCTGCCAACATTTCTTCAGTCTGAAATGGAGAAAAATAAACATCGTCAAAGTGAATCAAAACTTCTACTTAAGTTGAATAAATTTTGAATGATCTTCGAAATTATAAGAACATCCAGAACGCTAACTAAATATTATTCTAAACATAACCAAAGTTAAATGATTAAATTTAATGTTATCATTTTTGACAGTATCGAACTACTACATGACTCCAAACTAAAAAGAACAACGCCTTAAAAGAAATGTATCATCAAAATAAGCTTTAAGTCGACGAGCCAATTTCTGTTTCCCAATCGCTACGCCGACTGAGCTATCTTACCCATAAGTAAAGTTACTAGGCGACAGAAATTTTAAATTTTCACGCAATGTGATCAATAATCCACTCACGTATTTGCCAATGAGTTTGCTCTCTACTGGGTTTTGTGTCTGAAACAATTCGGGGTATTCCATCAGCAGTTCGTGAGAGGGCGAGTAATGATGTTGCTTCAAAGCTGCCAGATGCGACTGCAGTTCCGGGTTCACCATCCCCAGGGTTTCCGACTTGAAGAAGGTCAGCTCTTGGGCCATGACATCTCGTTCTCGTAAAAGATTATTGTGCTTCACTGCCAAATGTGCAACCTGCAACAGATAACTTGAATTAGAAATACAGGTTATTTAGAATTACTGAAACTTAGAAGGCTACCAATTTTGATCGTTTTTAGATACCAATAGGATCGCTTTAGTTTATTTCAACCTAATTCAGAGTTATTTTTCCAAAGGTAAGCAGCTTAAATTGCTAAATGCAAAACGGCGGGGGAGTTTGCAAGCTTCTAGAATGGCTACCCTAATACTATCTACATTTTTCGGGCGCCTAAATTTTCTTATTTTGGCGCCTAAATAAATCATAGAATGCCAAGCAATACAACTGAACTTTAGTAGCATAACTGAAAAACATAGCAGACGTAGGTTATCGTCGACAACATACCTCGTTCTGTGCGTGAGAAGACGCTGTGGCCATTTTGTTCAGCTGTGTCTTCATCCTATGGTGCATTCTGCCATGTTTGACTGCCTCCCTCTCGAAGTGCTTCACCTGCTTCTGTCTCTTCTTCAGACTAGACACCAACTCCACATTCGCACTCTCCAAATTCTCAACGTCACTTCTGAACAAACGTGGACAGGCGTCCAATTGAAATGCTTGAACTCATGAATGTATAGTATTTTAAGTACCGAAACCTGCCAGGAAAACATTTCAGATATATGTTGGGATGAACAGCATTTTAGGTACATATCATAGAGGAGTAATTTAGATATGATGTCAACTAGTAACGTGATAGAACTCATTGATGCTTGTCTTGGTAATTTTGATCTCGGTGCTTTTCATTCCCTTGAAAATGTATTCAATTTAACCATCCCGGTTCAATAGTACATTAAGTGATACTACTCACTGGTACTTGAAAGAGAGTGTCTGCAGCTGGTCCAGCAGATGTTTGCACTCTGTTTTTAACTTCCCAATCAACACATTCTGAGAAGCCATGAGGTCATCCATATCCTTGCCCACTAAGTCTACACATAAAATAACCAGGAACAGTGAAAATTAAATAGCTCAAGTAATCAAACACGAGCATTTTTGAAAGGAGTGGATTTAAGTTGTGTGGTTTTATGAGTGTTCGGTGATGGGATATTCGGCTCTCACATACCGAACTTGTTCTTCTGTTGACTCATGGTCTGTCGCATGGATTCTTCTCTGTCTTTGGCCTTCTGTAGGAGACCCTGGAAGTGGGTGTCCGATTGCTCTCTCGCCCGCTTAGACTGGAACGCCTATCAAAAAATACCAAAAAAAAAATTGAAATATAGTAAGTAAGTAAACTTAAACGAAGCGGTTACATTCAAGTGGTTACAAAAATGCATGTTTATCTGTTTTTTTTTCAGTAGTCTAAAATTAATTCAAACAACCAACATCATGGCTGATTTTTATTTTTTTTCCACTCTTAGTTAAATTAACATTTCAATCGCTTAACTAACTTACCTCCTTTTCGAGTTTCCCCACATACTCGGTCAGCGTGAACAACTGTTCTTTGCCATCTTTCTCACTTTTCTCGCAAACTGACAATCTCCGTCTCAGCTCATCGATCTCACTTCGCAGAAGATTCATTTCCTGAAAGAGATACACCTCATTAAAGGAACACAAACGAACCAAATCAAAATATTGTTCTGACCACTGAAAGTGAGGAGGGACTATGTCTTCGGGTGTATTTTAATTTTTTTTTTGCATTTTTTCACGCTTAATCAGAAATCCTACAATCATCAGAATGGATAGTAATATAAACATCAGATCAAAAATTAGAATTTGCCAAGTTTGTCGTAGTTTCCAAGCCAAAAGTAGAGGATTATACAGTGAAAATCCCCCCAGCCTATTTTTTCAATTGAAACCTTAATCCCAGATTTCGAAACGAAGGAATTTTTCCCACAAAAACGGTTAAAAAGCCACAACTTGAACTTTCTCAAGTCGATAGCGGTTTCCTTACAAAAAGTGAAGATCCCCAGACCCTGTTTTTTTTTATTTAACCCAGATTTGGGTGAGTATTCTTAGAGAAAAGATCAAAATGTCAAAAAACGGCCTTTTCGAAAGGACGTAACTTTTTAAGTAAAAACTGGGGTTTAGCCTTTTCTGCAGGAAAGTTCCCTATGTCCTGTTCCCTCGACTGAATCCTAACCCCAGATTTGGGAGGTTCGTTTCCGAGAAAAGGGGGAAAATTCTAAGGCCATACATTTTCTAAGGCCATAATTTTTTCTTTAATTAGGGGCGTGCAAAGCAAAAATCTTTCCTAAAAAAACAAAACCCAGACATTTTCATAATACCTGTTTTTATCAAACAGCAGTTTCGAACATAATCGACGTATGCTACCCGGCACATATGCTAATCGCAACGACCTCCTGAGTTTTGTGATGTAATCCATAAAGACATTTGCTTTGAAAAATCCAAAAAGATACCACATGCCAGACAGAAGAAATCCTTATGTCGCATGATTTATTACTTTTGATGGTCTCACCTGTTGTGCTTCTCTTGACTGTTGTCTAAACTGCCGCTTCGTGTTCTCCAGTTCCTGCTTGGCATCATCTCTCTCCACTATTGCAGCTGCAATCTCGGACTTCACACTCTCCGAAACCTAACACACAAACACAGCACAAATTAAATATAATGATGCCAAATTAAATATAATTATAACAATATCGGTGAACTTCAGCATCTTTATCGGTCAAAAATAGCAATATTTAGGTTAACTAGCTTTCGTGAAACTGTTTTTACATGCTGAAATGAGCTTATGCGAATTCATCTTGAAAAGCAAAACGAGTATATAAAGATTAGTTCGTTGACTGAAAAGGACATTGCCAACAAAGTGACATCAATTATACATCAGGTAAACAGCCAAGATGACATAACTCCTTGTCAAATCATCGGTGGATGCATGAAGCTGATATGTGAAGCTTTGATAAAAAGAAACAAAATAAAAAATTAAAACTATTTTATACTTCTGGTCTATAAATCACAGGAAAATCATGTCTTTGTGAAGGTTTAGGAGCCGGAGCTTAAATTTATTGTTTAATTGAGAATATATTAAAATAGGCGGTGATATTGATAAAAGCACATGTTGATTTAAAAAAAAACATCTCAGATTATACTAAAACCTCTGAATTTGAAAAAAAAGAAAAGGGCTTCTCAAATCATACAAAGGGAGTATTACATCTGGAGCACATTAAATACTCTGCTGTTACCTTGTTGACATTGAAATAGCTGTCTTCTACATCTCTTTTGGCCTTCTCAAGTTGCTTCCTCATCTCATTTTTCTCCCTCTCCGCCTTCTCCAGCGCCACCTTCACCGACGCCTCATCGTCTATCAACGTCGCAATCTAGAAAAGAATATATTACTTCACTCTCATATCACCATGTAAGATGAAACGCATCTTTCTCATATGAGAGGCTTTTGATTATGGTAAACCGACCTCTTGATCAAAATTCAGTGAAGGATATGTTTACCTCATTAGACTCCAAATACCCTTGCAGACTAAAATTATGTTATTCAAATCTTTGGTTTTTATAACATTTCTTTAATATCTTCCTTTGAGCCAAATACCAAAAACAAAACAAACAGACAAAAAAATTGGGCATCAAATTCGCTTCTGCAGGGAAAAAATGATCCAGTACGTGACTAACTACTTAAATGCAAATCTCTAGACGCAAATAAGCTATATGACTTAATTCAAACTTGAATCTCTTTTAAAATGCTTCAATGAACAAATACCCTCTAAAAGAAAGAAAAAGTCAAACTGACTTTTCTTCAAATGCACGATATTATATGTACACATCCAATAAAAAAGTACTGCAAAGAATAGGCAGATGTCACTGACTTCAATTTTTTTAGCTGAAAAAACTTAACTTTCGAGCTTCCAAACAAATGGCCTGAAGGCTCTTTCAAGGTATTTTAAGATACATTTAAATTACCACTTTTTGATAGATTAGCCTGATTCAAAAAAATAAATAAATAGGCAATTTTTTTATTCTGCTGAGAAATCTTAACACAGAGGCGAAGCTGAGCTTCGCAATAGTCGCGATACAAAACAAGAAAGCCGCTAAGTCGGAAAAAAATCAAAAATTGTCGAAAAAACTAGATCTATCAAAATGAAATATTAAATCACACTCACTTCCAAAACATACAACTATATTTGCTCCTCAATTGAAACAATACGAGGTCACTAAGCCGAAATAATATAGGCCGAAACCTATTAGGCCGGAAAAACCTTTAAAGAAGCCGGAAAAAAATTAAAATACGAATCATAAAAAGTTATTAAGTCCTCCTCGCCCTCAAAACACACACACACACAAAACTTTTCCGCTAGTCAAAAGACGCAATATGAGGCAATTAAGCTGATTTTATTTAGGCCGAAACTAATCAAGCAGAATAAAAAAGAAAAGAATATTGTCATGAAAATCTATCAACTCTAGCATTTTGTGCAATCCAGAGGGGAGTATTAAATTATGTTTTCCTTTTAACTAATGAAAAAATGGTCACTAAACCAATAAAAATTTAGCCGAAACTATTTGGTCAGAATAAAATTTTAAAGCGAAAATATACGCAGTCAAGGTTAGTAAAATTACAAATAATATTAAAAAACCAAAAAACACTACAAGCAACTATAAAGTAACTTGCGTACAGCAAAAAAATGCAATTCTACGATGTGGCAACTAAGCCGACACAACATGCAGACAAATAATACGCCGACAATTTTTTTTGAAACCGAATATTTACCGTTTGAAAAAAAAACAGGTCTGTTAGATTCGAACCCAAGACCTTTGCCGTCCCAGGCGTATACGCTACCTCCAGACAAAGCGCGTCAGAGACGCAAAGAAACATGAATTTATAATAGACTTAGTCTAAATTTGCCATTTCGCATAATCTGTGAAAGTTATTTACGGGAAAAAGTTTTGTACCCAATTGCAATACCCTTGCTTAATGATAAAAATAAAATCCACTTTCGAAACAAATTTTTTCACTTCTCTTCGCGTCAAATACGCTTTCGTAATTGGAGAGCTCAACTTCCTTTTCTTATACAGCGATTGAGTTTCTAAAAAATATCAAAATTCAAACCGCAAAAAAAAATCAAATTTGACTTGATCAACTAATACACTTCCTTAGCACTTCGCAAAAAGCGAGAAAATCGCAAAAAGTAGCTCTAAAAAGCCAAAAACAAAGTGAAAAAGGCTTCCAAAAACTTATGCTATGTGCCAAAATCAACCCTCTTACTTGACAGGAGTCTGAAGTTCTGGCATGTGAGCCACGATCGCTTGAAAACTTTCCATCTCAAGCTACCAATGAAGCAGCTACAGTTATAATATTGCCAATGTTATTCAGCGCAAGTTCCACCAAATGAAAATAGAACTAATTCAATGCGCCGAAACTGAACCATGAACATGTAGATTAGGAGGCTCATGTCCTCGCATCTTTGCCACGGTCGCTTGAAAAAAACTAGGGCCCACTAAAGTTGAAGATATCCGATGGAGAATTTTACAAAATAAACCGGCGTGCATTGAGTTAATCGTTTGCGAAAAGAACCGGCGTGCATTCAATTAATCGAAGTGTCAACAAATCACCAGATCAGTAAACCGACTTACGTGATAAATATTCAATATATTCAATTGTAGAATGAAAGATTTATAGAATCAATTTACCTTGGGCTAGAACTATATTTATCAATCTGTGGCAAGAATTCTCTATTTTCTTTGGTAATTTGTGGTTTGTGTCAAAAATTTGTCATATTGTACAAATCTCTATCGTAATGTCATATGATTACATAAACAAGTGATTACAAATTTGGGTGTACTCATCTGATCTGCACGTTTTTGATACATCGATTTACTGACCTACCAGCAAACGTTAAAATGCGAAAGGTTAAATGTAGTTTTAAAAAATTGGACAACGAGAAAATGTGTAGCTGATTAAGAAGAAAAAGCTTTCACAGGATAGATAATTAAAACATCCGAATTCGATTGATTTCCGAAATTCAGAATTGCCACAGCCGTTTTTGTGAGATTGAAGTCTTTGTGAGAGTCTTTAGGTCATTAAGTTCATAGCGATTTCCGTAGAAAACAAAAGAAGAAATAATTGAAGCAGGGTTTATCTTTACAGTTTTTTCCTGTACCAATCTGTTAAATTTGGCTGGATTTGTTACCGTAGCTCGCGAGAAATCAAAAGAATCCAAAAATGAAAATTTCAAAAAGCAGACTTTTACTAAGTCTAACTTTACTTTCCTAAGTAAAAAAATTAGGGTGTAGACGCTATGCAGTGAAAAATCTGTCAACTGAGTCCGTAATCCAAAATTTGAGAGGTTAGTTTTCAAGAAAGCTCAAAAACGGTCAAAATTTCAATATTGGGATTTTTTCCGTGGCCAAATACTTCAAAAATGGGTCCAAAAATTTCTTATATCTATACCTGATTGCTTACCATAACTGGGAAACTCCTTTTATGCAAAAGATACCCCCCTACAATTTGCTTTTCGATTTAACCCTTAATCTCAGATTTGGAACCGTAGTTCTCCAGAAAACAAAAGTTTCCAGCAAACGGTCAACATTCAAAACGCGGACTATTTTTTGAATCTGACTTCGCTAAAATAAGGACGTATTGACTACGCAGAAAAATTGCGAGCACCTGTTCCTTCGATTGAACAATAAATCTCAGATTTGGCAGGGCACTTTTCGAAAATCGGTCAAAACTTTAAAATCAGACAATTTCTATGGCTATAACTTTTTCCACAAAACATAGGGCGCAGCTATTTATGCGAGGAGGATTCTTCACAGCAGTTCTTAGGATTGAACATTTGATCTTGGATTTTTGCAGGGTGTGCAAGAAAACGCTTTTTCCAAGATACGATCAAAATTTGGACATGTTCGAAGGCCATAACTGTTTTTCTTTAAAAACAAGGACGCAGCAACTAAGCAGTGGATATCTCCAGACTATGTTTTGGTGATTGAACTCCTCATCTCTGAGTTCAACGGGGAATTATTGAGAAAATGAAAGACGTGAAAAAATAGGCCAAAAATACCCCTCCCACTTAAAGTTTCGAAGGCCGTCGGGTAAAAAAAGTTTGCCCAACATGCATGCAGCACACGGGCGAGTAGCCTAGGTTGGGAAAAAGGTGACCTCGTAGTACCACACAATGCTCTGCTATCTACGGGAACCGGTCTACAGTCCTTGAGCATCCAAGCCGACAGCCCTATACAATTTTGCTAATAACGCTTATGAGGCGAATGTGCTTACTGAACGAAACACTATCCACTCATAAAGTGGAAAGATACGCTATTTTCTGCAGAAAAAGTGCAACTAAAATGAGCGCTATTTTATGCGATTTGGATTTTAAAAGTAGACTCGTAAGATAACCTTATTCTTGCAAGCTCGCTTGTGTAAGAAGAATAAACATAGAACAATGAGTTTTTTGAAGGAAGGAGTGAAATGACATCCCCAATTTCTGAGAGCGTATTCCGAGCATATTTTTAAATATATGGCAAAATTGGTAATTTTTTTTTCAATTTTGATTACGTTTTTTGTCAAAATATTAGGTAACCTAATGGTTAATTGAAATTACATAGTTGCAAAACAATTCAGTAGAGTCAGCAAAAACTTTAAGAATACGTATACCTCGTGCATTTTTCGTTTTAAACTGAGGCGAAGTTGCAATTAACACGCACAAACAAAAAAAGGCAAAAAAGATTCTTAACAGATAACTTCAAGAATGTTAGCCTTGAAACGATGGAAAGTAAGCCTGGCGATTAAACCGAAGATTCATATAGACTGTTCAACAGTGACTCTTCTGTTCCGACCTTGTTGTTGAGAGTGTCGATCTCCCGTCTCACTTCGGCCCGCACACTCTCCCTCTCCGCATTGGCCCTCTGTCTGGCATCCAAGTGGGCATCCTGCAGTTTCCTCTCACATCTGCTCAACTCCTCCTTCATCTGCTGACACTCCAGCACTGCCTGTGGACAAAATTCATAATTACACGACACTTATTAACAGGGGCGGATTTAGGGGGGGGGGGACGCCCCCCCTCAGGGATTCGACCCCCTGCCGACCCAAAGGGTACCCCCTTTGATACTTTTTCAGAAATCCATTTTTGGCCGACCGACCCTAAAATTTTTCTAAAGGCGCCTTAGGCGCCAATATATACTAACTTTGAGGGGGAGCGCGGGCCAAAAAAAAACGCGATTTTTTTGTCAAAATTTTTTAAAAAGTGCCCAAAAACGGAAATTTTAGCCTAAATAGGGGCAAAAAAGTGCTTTGAGAGAGCTCGAAACATCAATTTGGTCGACCTAAAAAAAAGGTCGTCAAATTTTTCGAATTTTTTTGAAAATCCGCCCTCCCCCCTCGAGAAAATCCTAGATCCGCCCCTGCTTATTACACAGAGGCGAAACCACAAAAAACATTTGCGATGCAGTTCAAGATCGTAAAAAGAAAATAAGACGGAAGCCATATTTTTTTGCTGAAAACTAAATTGCAAAAATAACTTGAAAAAGTAAAAAAAACTCGTTCGAAAAAACGATCCAGTTTTGGCTGACGGCCCTTAAAATTTTGCTTAAGACGCCAATATTTAAGAAGAGGCGACTCGATTGAATATCACATGAGAATTTGCAGTTCCCGACGGCGAAGCGGAGCTTCAACTACTTGCGATACAACACAACCATAAAAAATATAAGTAAAAAATAAATGTTGAAAAAACTAGGTGAGCCAAAATTTTCGGATTTCTCGATAAAAAACATCTAGGGGCCCAGCTAAAGCTGGAGGTACGTGCTTGATATTGAATGAATTTGCTATACTGATGCGGCAAGAAAAATGTGATTTCAAAAATTGGATTTTGCTCAAACGTTTCAGATCAGAGTATAAATTTTGAGATAATCAATTTTCCAAAGATAACATTTCTCGCAAAAAATTAAGGTGTCGCCACTTCTGCAGGGACCATTATTGCAACTGGTTCCTTCAGCTGAACATTTCATCTCCCATTCGATTGTGTAAATCTTAGAAAAATCAATAAATTTCTAAATTTGGTCAAAAGTTCTAAAAACGGTCGAAAGACTTCACAAATCCATCAATTTTTTCTGCAAAAAGCATTTGTGGCCGCTTAAGCCGAGAAGATTCTCAAAACCACGTCTCGATTGAACACAACGAGAGAATTGGCACGGTAGTTTTCGCGTAAAGTCAAAAAGTTTCAAAACTTTGACTTAGTTCAAGGCCACAATTTTTTCTTTCACAAACTGGGTATAGCCAATTATAAACGCAGGCTTTTAACAACCTGTTGTTTCAATTAAACCTATGATATCAGAAGTCCAAAAAATGGTCAATAAATCAATTGGCATCTCCGAGAATCATGCCTTTTTTGTGTAAAAAAAGGGGCGTAGCCGCTTATGTCAACGTATTCATGCAACCTGTAATTTCGATTGAACCCAAAATGTCAGATTTGGATGGGTAGTTTTCGAGAAAAAACTTTAAAAAAAAAACGGTCAAAAAATCAAAGATTCCGACGGCCATAGCTTTTGGTGTCAGGAAAATTTGTGCGTAGTCGTATAAACAAATGAGCTTCCCTTAACCCGTTTTTTCAATTGAACCCAAAATCTCAGATATGGCAGGGAATTTTTGAGTATACTCAAAAAAGATTTAAAAAAAAACGTTCAAAAAATTGACTGTTCCGAGGGCCATAACTTTATGTGTACAAAAAATTGGCCGAGTCCGCATTTGCGGGGCGCTTTTCAAAACCGTTTTATTCATTGAAACCAAAAACTCGGATTTAAGAGGGGTAGTTTTTGATAAAACGGAAACAAAATCAAAAAATGGGTCAAATATTCCCCCACATTTTTCGAAGGCTGTAGACAGAAGGGTCAAGTAAAAGACTCTAGATGATTATGCAGGCTCACAGGGGAGTAGGCGGTCTTTCAATTGATACCAAATCTGTTCGGATAGTAAAACTGTTTATATTAAAACCCATGCTTTAGAAAGTAAGCCGATAATAAAAAATTTATATAAAATCCAAACTAGGAAAACCACGAACTCGACAAAAAAGAGACATTTATTGGAAAAAAAATAATCATTATCTGAGAAATGAATTTCACCAGATTATTAAAATGATGGCACTTTTATTTGAAAATTCAAGCGAATATGTGAAATGAAAAAACGTCAATACAAAACAGATGGTATTAAAAATTACAGCAGAAACTGACCGGAGTCAACTCTGGAAAATACTTGAAGCAAAAAAAACGGAAAAAAATATTGGTCAGGTAATTAACTTTGAGTAGAAAAAACATTTTGAAAACCTCGTAAGTCCAGAACAAATACATGATCCATTAATGATCTATTAAGGACCCTAAATGATCTATTATACACCGATCACGATTATATTACAACCAAAAACGGAGACTACTCCGTCTACCTGCACGCCGACATAACTGACTATGAAAGACCAGTAGCCTCCGAAGATATCAAAATGAAAAAGCCACAGGATTAGATGGCCTCTCAGCAAAAATAACTCCGTTGTACAAACACAAAGGGACTATATACGATCCAAACAACTACAGAGGAATAGACATCCTCCAAACAATGTCAAAAACCTTCTCCCATATAATACACCAACGCCTTACCGAATGGTCAGAGAATCGTTTCAGATCCTACCAAAAACTCAACAATAACTCAAGAAAAATAAATCTACTTTCACGGCAGCAAGCATTATTATATCAAGAGCTATGACGACCTTAAAAGAAAACAGTTTTTACTATGTATGTTTCATCGATTACTAAAAAGCATTTGACCCAATAGACCGAAAACTACTCTAATCTAGGAACTTCCACTAAATTTCTTGAAATATATTACGAAATGATAATGACGAACAGGATCAAACTACACAGAGAGGGTTTCCTCCGAGAAAAAATATAAAATCAGATAAACATTCACCCCTACTATTCTCGCTATTTATTGCTGATCTAGACTGCATTCACACAAACTGCAGAGCCGAACCCATTTTTACGCCGACGCCCTCGCCATAGGCAGCAGAGACATTAAAATCATAAATAAAACCCTACAAAAACTAAAACACTCTTGCAAGCTAACTCTCTCTATGAGCACCCAGGAAAAACTAATTTAAAGAAGTTCCGCAGAGACGGACCCATCAAAAAATCTGACTACTGTGAGTACGAGAGCAACATAATTGAGTTCCTAACAAAATCAATTATCTTGGAGTAATACTACAGTGCAACCATCCGCCTCATAAGGCCACCACCTATTTGACGACATAAACTATGATAAATGGAAGACCATAAGAAAAAAGTAAAAGGCATTTTCTACAAAATTGAGCTGGTGTACCATGACCGCTCATTGTACATATATTCGGCGATGACAGTTTACAAACTGCAAAGGCAAAAAATAAAAGAAGGTCCCAAATCGCGCACTACAATAGCAACGGGTGCCATAACAAAATTTGCTATATTAAGGGCTGCCACTCAATAACAGATCTAGATCTTGATTGTTTATATATTTTTGCCAACAGTTTATAACCCAACACAACCATCTAGAACACTGTCAAGAAATACCGGAGCAAAATCTCATCAAGATGATAAAGGTTGTACTCTACTCTACCGCCCGAAAATAGAGCAGAGAGAAAGTCAAGATAATCTTTTCGAGCAAAAAATGCAATGCCACGAGACTGAATTAGATTTATATTCTACATTTCGGGACATTCTTGACGTTCACTTTCAATCTTACTTGATTGGATACGTAAGGTCATTATTAACAACAGTTACCTGCGTCCTCTCCAACTGAGCCTGCTCTACTAATTGTACAGAGTGCTTCACTTGACTGTAGCTGTCTGTCTCCCTCTGCTGAAGTGCAGAACAGTGCCCCTTCAGATGGTCGTTCTTATCCCGCAGAGCCGCCACCTCCCTATTTGAAACATTGACTAATTACTTCTGAGGGAGAAAATCTCCAGGATGGAGCATGTGTCGTAAAAAAATAGGGAGCAATCACAAGCTTCATTAAGCAGAAGATTGCGTGAATCAACATCCCAAATCAATTATTTTGATTTTCTCACCACATGTACGACATTGAGGAAGACATTTATTTAGAAAAAACTCAACAACTAAACAGAGATAATGTAAAATAATCCGCTTATGACAAGTCGAACTAAATTCCTATAGATGTTAGCATGCAAAAAAGATGAGATCTACACGTAAAAATGAAATCTAATTTACTTGGACAATTGATCAATTTTCTCCATGTAGATCCCTCCATGGGTAGTTGAGATGACAGCCTCATGTTTAGCACACTTGATACAAAGCCCCGCATCCTGGACAAACCCGTCATCTTGGTCACTTCTGCTCTTGCCAGCTACCCTCATAGCCCCTGTACCCATAGTTGCGTTGTTGGAAACTTGATTTAATTGCATTTGTTGTTTCAGGTATTCGATGTGATCCTCATATCGGGTCATTTTGGCATCATACATTGCTTTTACGGCGTTCTAAAACAAGATGATTTTCATGCAAACGGCAAAAAAACATCTTCTGGCTGGCAAGTGCCCATATTGACAAACTTCATAGAAAACCAGGTTCGAATTTTTTGGCAATTCAAAAACAAAAAATTAGTCACAATTACATACTTTATTTTTAATAAACATTTATTGGTGTTACTTTAATTCTATTCAATATATTAGCTTTCTAGCCAAATAATGAAAGCTAAGTAAGAAAGGAACTTGATCTCACAATTTCCATCTGGAGTCTTTGCACAGTTTTGTTGTCCACGTTGTCCAGGAGTCCCCTGTCCATGGACTGGCGTATAACCTCCTGGTCACTCATATGGGACACATTCAAAGCAGCTACTGGTGGCCTGTTGCGAGGGAGAGGCGCCCTCATTCCCTGTTGACTCAACATGCCTTCCGCCGATTGAGACTATAAAGAAAAGATACCTAAAATCCTTATACTAAATGTACCGCTTTCCAGTCCTTTTGTTAATGGATTTGCTTTCAATCATTAAAAAAAATCTAGAATCATAAATATGAAGTTGAAACAAATACATCGACAGCAAGAAAAACCTATTACTGTGCAGGCACTAGAGAATTTTCCGATGAGGAAAATAACTGAAAAAACTTCGAAATTATCATGTTTTTGTACCGACCATTGAAAATAGGGAATTTTTTGCTCCGATCATTTGAAAAATGTGTAGGAACTTTGTATTCGTGTGTTTTTCTGTTTTTTAATCCGGCTATCCTTGTTTACTTTTTCTTTTTGTTTTCCACGCAAAATCAGCTACCACAAAAAATCATCGGAAAGGTTTGAGCAGGGGCGGATCTAGGATTCTCTCGAGGGGGGGGGGGGGGGCGGTTTTTTTAGGACCAAATTGATTTTCCGAGCTCTCCTAAACCAGTAAAAAGACCCTGTTTTGGCCAAATTTCATGCGCCGTAGGCGAATTTCAAAAAAAACAGGTCAAAAAAGCCGTTTTTGGGCATTGTTTGGAAAATTTTGACAAAAAAAATCGCGTTTTTTTTGGCGCGCACTCCCCCTCAAAGTTAGTATATTTTGGCGCCAAAGGCTCCTTTAGAATAATTTTAGGGTCGGTCGGCCACAAATGGATTTCTCAAAAGTACCAAAGGGGGGACCCTTTGGGTTGGCAGGGGGTCGAATCCCTGAGGGGGGGGGGGGGCGTCCGCCCCCCTCCCCTAAATCCGCCCCTGGGTTTGAGTGATATATCAAAATGCAGCCCTTTCACTTGTGATTCGAACATTAAAAAATTTGCAAAAAACTTTTCGTGTCGAGAATAACGGGTTTGAAATTTTTGATCTTATGTATGCTTAATGTAAGCCGTAAAAACTTAGTTTTACTCGAGTTTCATGTTCGTTTGTGGAGCTTTTAGCTCCATTTTGAGAATCAAAAATTTCTGCAAAAATTTTTTTTTACGACTATTTCTTTTTTCGTTTCTACAAAAACCTTCTTTCCAGTTGACTTATTTTACTATGACTGTCAAATATTCCCAAGTTCTATCTTTTCCGTTAAGATCTTTTTTTTTAAATCGCACTACGCAGAAAAGAATTACACTAATTTGAACAAGAAACTTTTATTTTGGTATTTTTTATAAGACTATGATCGAAACATTCTGTGCAACTTGCACAGATTTCGGCTATCCTTTTTTATTGTCGGTAATATTTTGAAATCAGTACAGGATTGAAATTGAGCTCAAAGAGTTAAACTAAAGTAAAAGCCGCTCAAAACAGGTTGGCAGTGAGGGAGTGAAAATCAGTCGAAATTCCGGACCATTTTTCTTGACACCGAGTCAACTTTTTGAAACCATAATCACGACTTAGAGGACTTTTTAATAGCATCACACTCGATTCTACATGAGCTTTCTCTGAAGTTGCGCGAAAAAAAAACAAGGTCATAAAAACCTTCACACTGAACAAAAAAATAGTCGAGCAAAAAATAGAGATGCGATTCGGCCTGTCAAGTGATGCCAGCCTCTCTTGAAAACCTTGTTAATCCTCTTAGATCTTACCCTACGTTGTCGCTCAGTCATAGCAGCAGCATTTGCAGGACTGTGGGACCTCATTGGTCTGAATGCATTTTGATGTTGTGGCGGAGGTGGTTGTTGTCTCACTGATGATCTTCCCCTTGTCTCTGAGGTGCCAGATGATGGTGCTGCTGCTGATGCATTTCCATCATAGACATCCCTTGCATGTTGTGATAACCACTTCTCACTCTACAAATACAGCCAGTTAGTCTAATCATAAACAGAACTTTCAACTATAAACAATACTTGTTACCATGAACTATAATTTCAATCATAAACAGAACTTTTAAACGTAAACAACACTTATAATCATAAACCATAAATTAAACACAGAGGCGAAGTTGCACTTCGCATCTACAAGCAAAATTATGACTAATAACTACTGGGAAAAAACTGAATGTAAAACTATGACTCTACAAAAATTCTTAAGTGACGCACGCCAATTATGACGCATTAGCAGTACCAGTTAATCTAAAAAAAAAGAAATTTACCAACTAACATGCCTCAATTTATAGAGCGGACGCATTTTAACAAGTATACAATAAAAGTTCATTTAAAACATCCGACCCTGACCAAGTTCGAACCCTCTTTTGTTGCGGGTCTCCTTCCCTACCTCTACGCTTCAGATTCATGATACCGTGAAGCTTAAGTGCTATTTGTAATATGATAGTCTACATTAAGATCCTTAGCATTGACTGTACTTAATAGCTAGTTTTTGATCAAAAAGAATACTTTCAAATTCACACAAGCTTTGCTTGTGTACAAAATGAACACTAATATTTGCGACTTAGATTAGAAAAAAAAGAGATTTCATACTATCATTTAAGCTTTGCTTGTGAATCACAAACAAAACTTTTAAACACACAGAGGCGAAGCAGAGCTTCGCGCCGCTTGCAATACAACATGAGCAAATTAAGTCGAAAAAATTTAAACGTTGAAAAAAAACTAGGTGAACCAAAATGTTCCTGTCTCCATAAAAAAAAACAACTCAGAGCCCAGCCTAAGCTGTAGTTACGTGTTTGATATTGATGGAATTTGCTAAACTGATGCGGCACGAAACATGTGATTTCAAAAATTGGACTTTACACAAAACCTTTGTTGTTTCTCTACTAAAACAAGTTGGAAGAGTAAAAAATTTTCAGATTATCGATTTTCCCGAGGAGATAACACTCTCTCTTTTAAAAAAATTAGGGAGTCACCGCGTCTGCAGGAGCAATTATCGGGGTGCTGGACAACAAGCCGACTTAACTTCGAGCCGAATAGAAAAATAGGGTCAGGAAGATTAAATCAGAAAATTTTCGTCCCGGTTGAGCTTTTGATAACAAATTCCACATGCTTTAAAACAGTTTTAAGTATTATTTCCTATCTAAATATGGATTTTTTTAAATCGAAGCAAAAAACAAAACGGGTCAAAATTATAAACGGATTTATGATCAGAAGAAACAAAACTATGGAAAATTTCATTTACTTCAAATGTTTTGAAATCAATTGTCCATGCGTGTTACAATAACAGGAGATTCAAAATTGGTTACCAAAAAACCTGGAGAACACAAACACCCTCCCTCCCCAGAAAGAAAAAATTCAGCAAGAAATTTTTCAGAACAGTAATTCAGGGCGTTCAACAAAATGTCAGTAGAAGTTTGAAGAAATCGTAAGACGAAGCCATACAGGAGATTTCTGAAGATTTTTTGCTCCCAAAATACGAAAAAAGCAGAAAAGCTCAAGAACCAAAAAAGCCGAAATTTTACCAGAATTTCCAAAAACTTTAGAAGACGTGAAAATTGAAGGTGCATGGCGAAAAACGAAACAAGGTAAAAAATCTGCTTGGTTCGTTCAAAAAGTATTATGGAGGATGGAACTTTCAAATGGGCACCACCGCCGTTTACCCAAATTTATGTGCTATTCGGAATGAACGATGAAAGGATTCTGCCAATAGCTTGGGCGCTGTTGGGCTCAAAAACTGAAATTTACTCAACTTTTTTTTTATTTTGTGCGAAAAATCTTTTCAAAATTTTTCGGTCTATTTGATGCCAGAATCAATCATACCAGACTACGAAAGCGGGGTCACTGCAGCTGTCAAGAAAACTTTTATAGTACATACTAATTGGGGATGCTGGTTCCACTTTTCCCAATGTATATATCAAAAATTTCATGATTATGGCCTTCAAAAAGGCTATCAAGACGAAAAACTGAAAAAAATGCTCATAAACTTTTCATTTTAGCGTGTTTGCTTGAAAACGAAATTAAAGACGCTCTTGGAAGTTTTGAGGACAAAATCGAAGAAGATCCGATTTTTTTGCGATACGCAGAAATCGGACAAATTTTTGCTTATGTGGAACTTTTGGATTTTTGGCCAAATTCCTTTAACTTTATAGAATGTTTGATCGGCCCCTGAATTTGAGGACAACTATCAAATGTGTGAGCTGGAATCGTGACTGGAACGCATCCGTAGGGACGAAAAATTCAGTTTTTCGGACGGTTTTTTAAAATTTTGGAGAACAGGAACAATATTCGCTCATACTTCGATGGAATTTTTCGTTGAAAAACTATTGGGCAGGTGTTTCGAATATTTTGCAGCGATTTTTGCTATTAAATTTCGTATAAACCGTCGTTTTTATTTTTCGGCTTGAAGTCCTTTCAGCTTGAACTCCCGTCTGCTTGTTGTCCTAGACACCAATCATCGTAACCAGTTCTTTCAATCAAAAATTTCAACTCAGATTTGATTGCGTAAATATTACGAAAAATCAAAACATTTCTAAAAAAAACCAGTCACAAAGTCTAAAAAACGGTCAAAAGAATTTTTTAAATCCAAAATAAATTTTTCAGCCAAAAGCAGATTGTGGCCGTTTAAGCAGAGAAAATTCCCAAAACCGGGTTTCTCGATTGAACACAACCTGAGAATTGGCAGCGTAGTTTTCGCGTAAAATCAACAACGTTCTAAAAAACTAACATTCGAACTTTAAAATAAGCGTAAAATAACAAACTCGGAATAGCCACAGACGAACGTAGGACGACATGTTTTTTTTATTAATCTATGATATCACATTTGGCAGGATAGTTAGCGAGAAAAGTTTTTTAAAAATCGGCCAAGAAATCAATAAATTTGAGATTTCCGAGATTTCTGAGCTAAATTTGAGATAAATTTGAGATTTCCCCTAAATTTAAAATTTCCGAGATTTCTGAGTTTTTTGTGAAAAAATAGGGCGTAACCACTTATACAGAAAGAATTCACGCAAATTGTTTTTTGATTGAACCCAGAATCTCAGATTTGGGAGAAAAATTCTCGAGAAAAATTAAAAACTATATAAAAAAAACACTAGAATCAAAATTTCCGAGGGCCATAAATAATTGTGTTAGAAACATTTAAGCTTTCCACAAGCCAGTTTTTTTTAATTGATCCCAAAATCTCTGATAGGGCAGGGCAGTTTTCTAAAAAAATTGACACAGGCGAAGCGCTACTGGGAAAAACTGAATCAGCAAAACTTTGAGTCTACAAAATTTCATAAAGGACGTAAGCCAATTATGACGCATTAACAGTACCAGTCAATTTGAAAAAAAAAGAAACTTACCAACTAACGTGCCTCAAATTATACAGCAGACGCATTTCAACTAGTATACGAAAAAGTTCATTAAAAACATCCGACCCTGCTCAGGTTTTCGAACCCTCTTATTTTATTGCTGGTCTTCTTCCCTACCTCTACGCTAGAGATCCATGATACATTGAAGCTAATGGGCTATTTCTAATTAAATAGTCTGTGTTAATATCCTTAGCATTGGCTGTACTTAATAGCTGAATCAAAATGAACACGTTCAAAATCAACACATTTTGTCGCAACAATGGCATCGCAACAAAATTTGCGACTTAGGTCGGGAAAAAAGACAGTCCATATTATAACACAAGCTACTCTCGTGCAAAAAAAAACGGTCAAAAATCACCAATTTGACTATTCCGAGGGCCATAACTTTATCTGTAAAAAATTTGGAGGCAGCCGCTTATAACAGCAACTTTTCAAAACAGTTGTATTCATTGAAACCAAAACTCGGATTCGAGAGAGGTAATTTTCGAGAATGGGTCAAATATTTTTCCAGAGAGTTTTTTGAAGGCTGTAGGCAGAGGGGTCAAGTAAAAAGAGACTCTAGGGGAATATGCGGGCTCACAGGGGAGTATGCGGTCTTTCAATTGATACCCCTTTTTCGAAAATCAGCAGTTCTGAGAAAAACTAAATTTTTTCCAATAAATTTAGAAATAATTTTCCTTGACCAAAAAAAAGAAATTTCAACAAACTGTACATATAACGAACTTGAAAAGTGCGGAGGGGAGTATTAAAACTGTGTTTACCTTAAACGACCCAAAATTAGCTCAGTAAATGAAAAAAAATAGTATATCAAACACTAAAAGCAACCTTAACGAAACATGCGCGAAGCAAAAAATAACGATTCCAAGATGTGACAACCAACTCGACAAGAGATACGCAGACAAATAATTGACCGACAATTTTATTTGAAACAGAACCTTTCTTGTTTGAAAAAAAAAACAGTTCCTGGTCAGATTTAAACCCAGGACCGTTTCCGTACCAGGCACATTCATTTCCTCTAGGCCAAGTTGGCCAGGACGCTTAGAAGTTTGAACTCATTATGATCCAGGATACAAGTGATTCTGTTAAACAAGTAGTTAACCCGAAAAAATACTATCTTCCGATTTCATAACACTTGTTAATCGCAAGCGTCATAAACATAATAATGTAGCAAAAATATAATATAATGCACACTTCACCGCAACCATGTAACTTTCGGCTGGTTGGAAAAGCAGAAGCTCAAAAGAAGAAATATAAAACTGTAATCACATCGTCCAATACCTGAGGATGTCGTTAACGAAAGTGATGATGATGAATTGATGACTAATTTATTCCGTTATCGGTTACTTTGTAGCTTCGCTGATTTTGTAACCTCGATTTAAGCAAAATTAGTTAAAATGACAAGATTGAAAGAAGATAGAAATGATGCATCACCTTAACGCGGAATATCTGAAGTAACAGCAGCAATGAAAAAATTATACTGAAATAAGGATATCGATTTGAAATTTCGGTTTTCGGAAGCTTTATATAAGCGCAGAATCCAATTAGAAGTTCCATCGATAGAAAAAAATCTTCATTTGAGGCAGAAACTTTGTTATTTGACCATGAACTATCAAACTTCGTATAATCAGACTTTCCATAAACTTATTCTTTGATATACTAAATAAGTATAACATCATAATACCACTGGTTTAAGAGCTACTAAACGCGAAGCGACCGCCAACTGGCTAAGCTTAAAATCTACTGACCTTGAGGGCGGTGTTCTCATCCTGTAATCTTTTGATATCTCCATTCATCTGGTCCAAAATTCTCCCCAGGTACTCCTTAGTGACTACTTCTCCTTTTTCCTCTCTATCCTTCAGCCTCTGATCTAATTCTGCCAGGTTGGCGGGCGTGGATGTGAACATGGCATGTGCACGCATGGCGGACTCGGACTATTAAAAAAAATTCAAAAAAAAGTATTAAAAAAGTTGACTATTCAAAAAACAAGTATGCTTCGCCCAAAGTCAAAAGAAAATAAAAGTTTTTTTACTTCAATTTATCAAATAGACTTTTTGTTGCGACCAATCTCGATATGAGGTGTTTTTTTTTCACATTTTATTTACCCTCGTAAGGGCTGAAATGTGGATTCAATTTAAAGTCATTTCAGTCGTGACTCATCAAAAAAAAGTTCATTCAGAGCCAAGAAAAATCGCACTGCAGATTTTCGTTTTTCAGACCTAATAAACAGCGGCTTTTTGGGGTCCTAAAATATACTAGATTGAGCCATTAAGCTATAATATCATTCAATCTATCTATGAATTCATGATTAACTCATCAAATAGCCACCTCAATGACCTTCACACATCTTATTTCAAAAAACCAAATGATAAATAACTTTTCAAAATTAATTTCAATGCTTTGCAATTTGGTTTTGCAAAATTATCTGCGATCGGAACATCCTACACTTTTAACAAAGTAATCAGCTGTTTTATATAAACAAGAAATGACATAATAATTTGAACCAATTTGATCTATTTATTTATTATCAAAAATATTTGTTGCCGAGGATAAATTAAATATCATTCGACGTGAGCTTAGACAAATAGACCTCAATTTTGATACGAAAATTTTAGTTTTGATAGTTACGATGAAGAGTCAACTGAGGGTTACCTGGTTTATTGAATCTATAGTTACTATCTACATGCAGAAAATATCATCAGCATATCCCTTCCAGCATGAAGCTAACATCATATTACCACAGTCTTGGAAGTTATAACCTGATTTCATTGCTGGTAACTTTCTGAAGCTTCTGCTTTGAAATGGTTCTTTTATGGCACGCGCACCATATCTCGAAACTTTATTATCAGCTGACCAACATCGATATAAAAAAGGGTAATATGTTGATACCTGCGTAGGCTGCTGATCCGACAACATATCATCAACAGAAGAAACAGTGACCCCGTGAGACTTCAGCATCTTTCTCAAGTTCTCACTCGCCCCACGGTAACCGCCTCCACCAGCTCCCCCTGATTTTTGCTCAGCTGCTGACGTTACTGCATGGGTATTTCTATTCGACTTTGCTACTTTAGAGGCCAGGCCTCCTGAACTGTCGAGGGACATTCTCAATTGGTCATAGCTCTCCAGAGCTTTTTCTTAAAGGCAGCAAGAAAATAATCATAGCCAACAAACAGTTAGAAAAGATTCAAGGAACGCAAGTAAAAATACGGACTTATTTTGAAAAAAGCTTAACTTTCGAATTTAAAAGAAAAAAATAAAGCTCTTTCAATTTCTAGACGAACAATTTACGATTGACACTTAAAATCATAAAAAAACCCAATTTGAGAAAACCGGATCAATAGGTTAAATTTTTGTTTCGCTGAGAATTTTGTCACACAGGCGAAGCGGAGCTTCGCAACACTTGCGATGCAAAAAACATATTGCGTTACAAATAGTGAATGAAAAAAAAGACAGAAGTCAAAAAGGTTTCCTGAAAAATTATGGAAAAAATAACTCGACAAAAGTTGGAAAATTACAGCTACAAAAAGTTCAAAATTGTATCAGATGAAGTTCATAAACAGCCCTTAAATAATGCATATCATTTATCGAGCGCCAACAAACTGAAACACATAATCCCAAACGGATATACTTTGCCCTCGAAATTACGCAAAATAAGTCGACTAAGTCGATATAACATAAACAGAAAATATTTTGAAAAAAAAAAGAAAATTTCAAAATCAGACATGATAAATTTACAAATGCCTATTTTGATGACAAGGTGATACTTGGATCTAACTCTCTTTTCAAAAGCTATTAGAAATTTAGCCACAGTTTTCGAACATCTAATAGGTCAATTTGGAGAGTACCAGTTATCGCCTTAAAAATATGGGCACTAGTTCGTATAGTGCTCTCATCGAGGAAAATTCTCTTATATGATTACCTCTGGTATCCTTGTAGTAATCGTCTGTTGAAGTGTCTGGTCTGAAATCCATATATGGAGAGATGGTCACTGTGGTTGTCTTCGTATGAGCCATACCACTGGATCCACCCGCTGATGTTCCTGTCTGATTGGTCTGAAGACTACTGCCTCCTGCAGCTGTTGTGTTGTTCATGTTGGTATCTACTAGCACTCCTTCTCTTCCTCCTCCAGCACCTAGTTTCAGGAAAATAATCGAATTCAAAAAAAGACTAACAGGTTGTTGCGCAAGTAGCACAGAATGTTCCGAACTGTTATCATTGCAAAAAATACAAAACTGAAAAAAATTGAAAAATTTCCAATTTTAAATTTTTTTTTAGATTTACATACAGATTGAAGTATGCCTGTAATACAACAATCAACCGTTCACATGATTTTTGGAGGAAAATCGTTCATTGCAATTATCCGGAAGGGAAATTTTGTAACTTTTCTTTTTGAAATCTGAATCACACCGGAAAGGCACACTAGAATTCGCAAACGCAAGCAAGAAACGACATAAGGGAACATAAGCTGCAAATGAAAAAATGCTTAAAAACACAAATTCCAAGCAGAGTTTCGCACCACTTGCGATACCGCTCAAACGTACAACATGAGGCGGATGCCAATAAGAAGGAAAAAATCTAGTCAAAAAGCTACATATACAAAACTTCAAAAATTTGATGTTCAATTGGAGGAAAAACCCGAGAAACACCATCGACAGCGTTAAACACAGACGCGAAGCTTGCGATAGCACATAAATATAGTATTGCAAGCTACTAAAAAGAAGAAAAAATAGAAAAACCGCAACTACAAAAATTACAAAATTTCTCTGTGATGATGTTTGATTTCAGGTAAACATGTCCAACATGTCCAGGAACAAAACCGTCAGCGTTATGGAAACCTTAAGAAATACTTATCGAGCTGCAACTAAACCAAAAAAAACTGAGTTGTCTTGTCATGAAAAACTTTTAAACACACCAGTTCTGAATTGGGTGAATTTTTAATCCCCTACCTTCCAGAAATACTCCAAAAAATAAACCCCTTCAATCAACGCAAAATTATGTCACTACGCCAATAAAACATAAGCCTAAAACATGAAGCAAGCAAAATTGAAGCAAACTGTTAACTAAAAATAAAACAAAAGATGTGACTAAAAAATCAGATTCAGTTTAGAAATTATATTCAAACTAAGCCGACAAATCACTTGCAAACAAAGAGTAGGCGGACAATCCTTTTGAAATGGATTATTGCTTCCTTGAAAAAACCGGTTCCTGGCCAGATTCGAACCTATCACCCTTGCCGTCCAAGGCGTAGCCGTTTCGTTACCTCTAAGCCCAGTGTGCCGGAGAAGTGAAAAAAGTTGAATTTACTAGTCCAAGCTATCAAATTATTCGACTGATTCAAGTGATTAAACGAATGGTAAATAGTTGAACCGGAAAAAGTCTAATCGAATTTAATAACGCCTGCTAACCGCCAGCGTCATTAGCGGTAACAAAAATTTATCGTTTTCCAACTAAGCTGATAGAACTTGGACAGATGACCGTGAAACCGAAAACACCATTTCCCACATTACTTTCAATTTATAGTTAAAAAACTCTGAGCCTAACACAAACGTTTGCCTGTGTAATTAGCACAGTTGGGTCGACTCTTAATGTTTGAAATCCTACTGTAGCATCTGTGCAATGAAATGTTTGACATGATTTTCATTTTTGTACCAAATGCTAAAAAAATGCTAGTCGTACAAATTTCAAAACCTTGGCCGAAATGGTGTAATTGATTTTTAAAAATTTGTTGACTATGGCACAAAAGTAGGTGTATCTTCATGTCATAAATAAGAAAGCAAAACTTTTCGGCAAAAGATGGAAACTGTGTGAATAGATTTTTTTGATGGCGACACCAAAAAATTTTTCTTTAATTTCGGAATTCCCCCCCCCCCCCCCTCCCGACAAGAAAAAAAAACAAAATTTGACATTTTCAAGTTTTTTTTTACGAGCTAAATTTAATTGTTTGCGCGCATGAAGAAGTCCTGAATACAAAAAATTTGGATTATTTTTCCGTTTCTCTAGTTAGTTTATTCAAAAATGCTTTAAAAAAACGCTATTTCTTTTGCATTGCATAATTTTGTCTGTCTCGAGCAGTGTATGATTAATAAAATTTTAAATTAAAAAAATAAAATTTTCCAATGGCTAAGCGTTTTTCCATATATGAAAACTGTATGACTAGCATTTTTGGACAACCCGGGTCGTTCAGCACAAAATGCAGTGAAAAACAATAAAATGGGAAAACGTGCGTGAACAAAAAATAATTGATTTTAATGAGATAAATCATCAAAACTCGACAAATTTTTGCTGCCTAGTGCAAAATGATGAATTCAATAGCCTAACTATTAGCAAAATAAGAGAGATTTCATAAAAATGTAGGTCACTTGCTCTCGCTAGTGAAAATCAAAATTCTTCTTTTTCGTACTTCATACTCAAAACCAAATGAAATGAAAGATGACTTTGTTTTACCTGTCGGTCCCGGAGTTGCCAACGCTTTGTCGTTACTAGTCTCATTGCTGCTCGCTGAATTTTTGGCTGCCATTTCTTGCAAAGTTTGATTGATGATCTTCTATTATTTTACTGCGCTATGATGCACGGAGAAAAGGCATCACCCATCTGAAATTCGACAAATTCAAGAAATCTAAGATACTTAGGCTGTAAAATTTTTGTCATAAATTTTCTATGATACTATTTTCCTTTTTGTCTTTATTTTTAATCAACTATTCCCAACTATTACCGCTAGAAGAATGAAAATCATGTTAAACAAATTCAAGCAAAAACGTCATAAAATTTCGAGAATGCGGCTGCACCAAAAACACAAACTATTCTCTTTCCCATATTTCGGAAAAGCTAGCTTCAAAATTGTTCAAATGGTTAACAGACGACGAAGAAGTTGTTTCCGCATATTTGAAGAGAACTCGTTTCGGTAAAATTCTAGCAGCCGGTTTAGTAGTGCTGCTAGCCGGAAGCAAACGTATAACTGGCGTTGAAGTTGTTTTAATTTCTTGGCTGAACCCGCGCTCACTTATAGGCGGAGTCAGCATTGAATATTCAGTTTGGGTTAGTGGTGGCCTCTCGCTAGATTCTTCTAAATATTGACTAAACGAAGAAATGTCGAACACTTCTTGATATTGTGAATTAGAAAACGACTTTGCATACTTCGATGCACTTGAACTTGAGTAAGAGATTCTGTTCTGGGAATCAAAAGCCATTGCCGATGAACTCCGTTTGAAAGATGATTTTGAGCTCTTGTTTTTCGACGATGTGGCATGGTCCGTGTTGCGTAATATATCATAATATAGACGAGAGGCTTTCGACTAAAAAAACTTTAAGCATCAAACACGTAACCGCACAAAAGTATCTCTATTCTATGTTTCAATTTTCAAAAGAAATCGACGAAGCAATGAAACGAACAATCTCACATCAATTCCTTAAAACCGAGAGGATTATTTATTTACCATGATTAGGTCGGTATGTGAAGCACCTTTTGGAAGCTGCGAGCTTTCAACTGAAGGCTCCAACGAGGATATGTTGCAGTTTTTACACTTGATGCATTTTGAGCATAACTTTGATGAGTTTCTACTACTAGGAAAGACATCCGTTTGTACTGAGCTTGAGACAAGACTTTTGGCTCGGTTTAGCGACGAACAACTTCCTGCTTCTGAACAAAATTAGCTTAAAAACAACAAAAGCTGAGTGAAAACTAAACAAACTAGGCTCATTTTCTGCAGAATTGCTTGTTTTGAGGATTTTCTCATAAGTGAAAAATTAAAATGGTACAAATTTTAGAACATTTACTCGATTGTGCAGCTATCAAATGAAGAGGAAGCGCGCTCTTGATGAAATCCTTCAAAGGCAAACTTGATACTGTTTCGCTTGATCTTTGAGGACTGTTTGAAATGAGTACAGGTTTAAGCTGAAGTTCATTTAGGAGGTTTGATTTCAGTCGAAGCACTTTGACACCTAACTCGGCTAGTTTGGACACCACAGTACGACACGAAATGGTTTGGAAAAACTTGATTGACAATGTCAAAAATAATTCAGGTCCAGCGTTCAAAAAGATGATCAAAAGGCTGAAATATCATAAACCGAAAATAAACATGATTCGACTTTTGGCAAAATTTGAAAAAATTGAAATAATAATTACGTTTCTTTTTCTACCAGAAATATTTTGCTAGTGCAAAAATGGTTCAAAAATTAACTAAAAACTTAATAGATTACTTTGTGAGATTTTCAACATCAAAGCAGATAATTTGATCAAATGCCGTCAAGACATTCCAGCAGTCTAGAATTTCTTGACCACGATGGACTACAACAAAATTGTGTTTCACAGACAGCTTAGTCAGCTCTGTGTTTTTCGTAGGAAACAAGTTCGTCCATGTAAATTGGTGGCCTTGAGATAAAGAGACAGACTCATTTTTAGAATTCGAAATAAACTCGGCCGACTGCAACTGTTTCAATTCTACTTGCATCAGTTTTGAATGTTTCTATGAAAACTGCTCATCTGAAAACGCACATAAGTTATATATTCTCTATACACACTCAGCAGCCCAAGCAAAAATTTGCCATACGTCTCGGTTTAGGACGAAGCCAAAAAACCTAGCCAACTGATAGTTGGAAAAGAGTAAAGAACGCAAGAAAACAGAAAAAAAAACAGACTTTGTTGAAAACTTTCGCATTTCGAAGAAAAAAATAGCTCCTTTCAGCTCTTTGAATTTCTAGAACAATTTATGATTGGAGCTTTTTTGATAACATTATCCCAACTTGAGAAAACTGGATCAGCAGGTAATGTTTTCATTCCTCTGGAACTCTTTCGAAACTAGAAATCCTTCATGAACTTTTGCGCCATTTGCACGTTCATTTTTGGAAAGTGCTTTTTATGTCACTTTCAGCAGATTAACTTCAATTGAACTCAAAATTGCATATATAACTAAGTGCATTCATAAATCCATTAATATGTATGAATGCACATCTGAAGTTATTAGAGCATTTTAAGACTTTTACCTAAAAAACAACGAAAAAAATCACCAAGATCTATGGAAGAGTCTTCACTCCGTTCATTACTCTTAATAAGGCATTTAAAAAAGGGTATATATTCTATTTTCCATTTCTTTTGTTCATATTCACGAGTCAGTTTTCAACTGTTCAAGGATAGAAAACGGTCTGCTTCTTGAAATTTAAAATTGGCATTTCGGTGAGATTGGGTCAATTTTTTCCAAAACAATGACATAAATGAAACAGCCGAAGTCAAAACCGAACACCCAAAATAGAAAAATCAGAGCAAGCAAATCAAAACCTTAATAGTTCACACAACCTGGAAATTCAAGTAGTTTATAGGCACTCAACGCACAAAAAGACTTAGAAACTAATAGAAGTTGTTAAAGCCCCATGCCCTTCAATACACACACTCACACAAATTTATTTTCGCTCATTTAACGACAAAATAATTGGCCAATAATCCGATATAAAAAAGGCCGAAACTTATGAAACCGAGAAGACAAAAGATACAAAAAAAACGAAATTAAGAAAAGAAAAAAAAGACTTGAAAGCTGAAACAACATTTATAACTCCCATCCTCTCCTTTTCACACACTCAATTATTTTTGCATATTAAAGGACGCAATATGAGCCCAAAGAAGCGGAAATAATATAGGTCGAAACATATTTAACCGAAAAGAACATAAAATTAAAAAAAAAACAAATTGGTTAAATTCCAACCAACCTAATAAAACAAATTTCGAATATATTTTCGGATATTCAAAATGCAAATAAGCTCAAAATATGTCTGTTGCTTTCCAACAGAGAGACGACTGCTGCAGTTCTGAGTGCAATAAGCTTAAAATAGAGATCTTGAAATTGGAGATCATGCTGTGGACAAAGTTGCTAACGGAATAAAACTCTAGTACCCGATTGCAATACCCTTGCTTATCGCAAGGAAAAAGATAAAATATGCACCATTTTGCTTCAAAAACGGGATTATTTTTTCATTCAGCTGAAGAAATCTGTTCAATTTAGAAACACCAGGCCACTACAATTTTAGCGCCTTACCTTAGTTATTATAAGCATATTTGTCGTTGTTCAGCAATTGAATTCTATTTGAAGTTCAAAAATCAAACAAAGAAAAATCAAGAGCTTGATTTGACTTCCTACGCGAGCACAAATTTCAAATATGGGTCTCGAAAGTCAATATTTGAATCTGTAATCAGAGAAATTAATAACAACAATTCATCTCAATCGCCCCTTGCAGTCTAGCCGCCAAAAATTTTCCAAAAGGCTCATTGGTTTTCTACAAATTTTCTACAAGAAATTTTGTTTTCTACAAGAAATTTAGTCGCTAATTAGTACTAATTGATAGTACGCGTGGCGGGAAAAAATCTAAAAGATGCTGAAACGGCAGATTCTTCTAGGCGCGGTCTCGAAAACGGGAACGTCACACGTTTGCGAAAAACTGCCCCTGGCCAAAAAAAATTCTGCAGACGCCATTGATTATATCGCTAGAGTTAATTTATTTTAGGAGTACTTCGAGGCTGTCAGCAATTTGAAATCCTATATGTCAAACAGAAACCACACGAGGTTGGTCGTCTTAAGAAAAAGAAAGATGCAATAAATTATTGTTTTACTTTTTAGCGCTCATTCGCATTCAATATATTTACAGTATGTACAGAACAGTTTTGATGATCTTAGTATTATGAAACAACTCCGAGCATTCACAGATTGGCTTAACATAATGGCATTGGCAACACTAGGAACATACCACAAATTTTATTCATGAGGACTGTAATAAAAGTAACTGCCAGTTCCTTTTTAAAAATTATTACAAACAGTTTTGAAGAATGCGTTGAATGTGAACTGCGAAAAAGCTGAATTTACAAACAAAAATAGAAATTTTTCATTAGCATTACGAAATTAAATTAGCTACAGGCTTCAGATCATGATCATATCAGAGCAAAGTCGAAGAAGGCTAATTTGAATGAACTTATTCCAGCGGCCGTTATCATATCAGCGCCTATCTGAATTACAAATATACAGATTATATTGCCAAACAAATGATTTCGTTAGGGTGCTATGCTAATATACATAATTTAATGGTAATTATAGAGACAGAAAAATATCAGGAGAGATCCGTTTACCCACCCAAATCTAAGAGTGGGAGTAACTAGTAAACTAGTTTTTTAAACTAAACTCTACTTTACCAGAGGCAGGGCTACGAAAATTTTTTTACAGTATCGAATCCCAATCAAACTCATTTTCGATTTCCTCACTCGATTTGGCCAAATTGTTCTGTTGATTTTGCACCATCGGGTTATTGGAAGGCGAAGTGAGCAAATTGTGCGTCTGTTGCATGAGTTGGGGACTCGGGAGCTGGGGTGAAAATTGAGGCACTCCTTCGGGTGAGAGGGAAGAAATTGTTCTCGGCGAGACGACGTTGCTGTTGTGAGGGGTTTGTACATGTTGGGCGTCGACATGAGAGTGAGGCAGTGTTAGTCCCATCAAATCTAGCAAAAAGCTTTTAATGAAAATGCTGTACTTTTTATCGAAATTATTTCAGAACTAAATATCCCAGAAACAAGAGTTGAAATTTTCCCTTTTATTTTAACTTGAATTAATTGTTTTCAA